TGACTTGGTGGTCATGAGGTAAATAACCTTTAGGTAATGTAGGATTAAACTATTTTCATCAATGCCTTCCAAGCCTCGGCACTAGGGAGACACTCTTTAGAAAGATAGATTCAATTATGTTTCTCTCCTAACAAAAGCATGCACTTTTCTTTCCTTTGGAGCAAGGGAACAGCACCCTAGTCCTACTCCATGGTGTTTATAGGAAATAAACTAATGTTCAGCTTGGTGTCTTGCCAGAAGACTTCTCTTCTATTTGTACCACATATATGACACCTAAAATGATTGAGTCTCTTCTAGCAGCTTGGTAATGTCAATCAAGAAGAACGGAAATCAGGTAGCTACATTAGGAATTCGCATGTTCGATCCATGCTCACCGCACCATGTCAGTCAGGAAGGATGGAAATAAGGCAACTACATTAGAAAGCTCCTAATGGAAATCAGGTAGCTACATTAGGAATTCGCGTGTTCAATCCATGCTCACCGCACCATGTCAGTCAGGAAGAATGGAAATAAGGCAACTACATTAGAAAGCTCCTAATGTAGCTGCCTGATTTCCTTCCTTCCTGATTGACAGGTAAATCATCTACTCTTTGTGAGCAATTTGAGAAAATCGGCAAATCATCTACTCTTTGTGAGCAATTTGAGAAAATCTTTTTTGGGTATTTAACTTATCATAATTTCTATCATTATTTATGAATCTATCTTCTTGCTTTTGGTTCTGCACTGCTTTTAAGTAATGCTAGTTATGAAATGAAGACACTTTCTATTAGTATATAGCAATATGTGGTTGCAGCGGGATCTAGAGAATAGCATTACATATTTTAAATATGTTGGAGCTCTTGCATCTGTTTTGATGTAAATTTTGTTTCCTTTTTTACTTTATTAAATACAATTTTCTTATTTATTTAGCAGAACATGCATTTGCTATGGCATCAAATTGATGCCTAAAATATTAAAAAAGTAATGATGACTTGCTCCAATATGTTTTATCGTTGTGTGCATGTTCCAAGAGAAAAACACATGATGTTACTTAACAGTCCTGAAAATATCCAGTTTTCATATTTGTCAAAGTTGCATCAAGCATGCAACGAATGCCACGGCAGCTGCCAAATCACTAGTGAAACAAATACGACAGCTTTAGAGCTTATTGAAGTGAGACCAAATTAAACATGAAGCAATACATGCTACTATAATCTAGTAAGTCTTGAAAAATTAGAATGTGGTTGCGGCAGGCTATGAAGAATAGCTTCACACACTTGCTTAGTAGGAATAACTTTTTTGTTGTGGTTACATGCATACTAGTTTATGCAATCTAGTGCATACTTGCAAACATGAGGAAAACATTGTGACACACCCATATACATTTGATATCTCCACATTATTTGGAGCAAAAACAATAAGCACTTATAAATAGCACCTGAGGAACATAGATGTTTTTCAATTTAAACTTTAAAACGTCTAGCATTTATTTTGGCATTCAACAATTCTATATGAAAAAATAAGCCTGATTAGTAATTGTATTAACTATCCCATTACATTGAGAATTCTACCTTCATATTTGTTGATTTATGAAATTGATATGATACAATGTCGATGTCTAGATGTTTTCTCATAAAAAAATGGTATTTTTTTGCTTGCAGAGAAGAAATCAGACATAAGGTCAAGATTTGATAGAGAAACAGACAATCAACAACTCTTGCAGTTAGAAGAGAAAGATGTTGTATCATCCGTAGCTACTGTGTTGTCTGATCTTTGTGGGCCAGGAGAATGGATGCCTATGTTGAAACTTCATACAGAGGTTGGGATATCACATAACATTAGTGGTTTTCCTATCTATAAATGTTATTTCTGAGCTATTTTGCATTTCGATGCTAGCCATATTTAGCCTAGGAATCATTTATCGATGTGTCGGTTCTCATCGCCATCTACTCTTTTAAATGGCAAGAATTGACATGACTTGGTTTCAATGAATCATTGACCTCTCCTCTTTCGAGGTAGAGATACCTCATGGTCAAGATGCCAGTGTCGACAAGCTTTCTCTTTAGCACCCATGTACTATCCTAATCTTTGTCAAAAGTATTTGAATATGTGTTGCTCCATTCCATACGGATTATGGGAGTGATACTGCTAAAGCAATCACCATTCCATTTGCATAAGTCTATATACATTTGAGACTATTTTTTTGTATGCATTTTTCTAAAACATGAAATTAGCTGATGAAAAGGATACATGATAACACTATTACTTAAAACTGCTACCATTAAAGAAGAGAAAATTCACCCGGTGAAGTTAATTTAAAGTAAAAAGTGTAATGGCATCTTAGAAAAGTAGATCATGCTACCCATACCTTAGTTTAGTCTAGAATGCCAAAAATTACGAGATTTATTGCATCTCCTTGAAATCTAAGTAATTTTGAGAGAATTGAGAAATGCTTTTTACTAAATGATGGCTCAACAAGGCAATACTAGCTGAAATATTTTATCTGCTAAATCTACAAAACTTCTTGTAACATCTAGAGATTGAACCAAGTTTGAATTATTAGAACTCTTCTCTCTTGAATAGTTTCATGTAGCATTGGAGGATGTCGCTGCATTATTGATTGGAGAAATAGTAAAGCTAGTTGTAGGATACTCAATAAGTTGGCCAATGTTTATATGAAGCATGACTAAGAAAATTAATATACCCAAATTTCAAAAGCTGGAAATATAAAGAGGGTGTTATCAGCTAAGAAACCATCAACAGTAGGAGAAGGCACTTAAGAGATGAATCTTAAGTAATATTCTAATGATAAGAACATCCCAAGGGAACCAAGTCAGAGGGAGCAGCCTTCAGCAAACTAGAAGACTCCAATGATCAAAATTATTTACTCCACAATTATTCTGGTTTTTCATATATTGATCAAAAGAGCTAACCTCTATTGATGGAATCTTTGAGGACAATCTCCTTTGTTTTAGGTGGGCATAAAATAGTTAATAAAAACATGAGTAAAAAACTTGTATGATATGTAATGTGAGGGCAAGCCCTCAAAAAAATTTTATTTTGCCAATAATCATGTGAAGAAGTAGAGGCATGTATTTGGTCAGTTCAGATTAATTGATTGATAGAATTGTTAAACCAATCAAACAAAACCAAATTATAGGCATAAGTGAATAGAGTAAATCATATGTTAAAATCAAACCACACTGAACCATCATATAGTTCGGTTTATTTTGGTTTAGCTAAATTTTGAATGGTTAAAGTTTGGTTTTGATAATGCAATGAACAAAACCAAATTATAATATAAGGAGAAATTGAGAAACCACACACACCCACACACACATATACATAAATACATATATATATGTGTGTGTGTGTGTTTTATTGGCATTTTATTTTCGGTATAATTGATGTTTTTTTAAAAAAATTGAACAAGAAATCAAAACATAAATAACTCTTATTTCAATACAGAAAATCAAATGATCATTTAATAAATAGAACTAAATCAACTAAATATACAGTATAATTGATGTTTTTTTTAAAAAATTGAACAAGAAATCAAAATCTAAATAACTCTTATTTCAATGCAGAAAATCAAATGATCATTTAATAAATAGAACTAAGGTATAATTGATGTTTTTTTAAAAAAATTGAACAAGAAATCAAAACATAAATAACTCTTATTTCAATACAGAAAATCAAATGATCATTTAATAAATAGAACTAAATCAACTAAATATACTTAATTCAATTTTGGTTTTGGTTTAAACTAATTTCTGCACACCACTCCTATGAAGACGTGTTAATTCGTACATTCCAAAGCAAATGGACAGAAATGTCCATCTCACTGATAACACGTGCCATAGATGGTGAGAAAGCCCATCGATAGCAGCATCCACATTTGATGGAGCCAAATGGACAGAAATGTGCATCTCAATGAGAACACATGCCATAGATGGTCCAGAGAGCGCACGATAGTAGCATCCACAGTTAATGGTTTGCCAAAAATTGATCGCTAGGAGTGCAATATGGATTTTTTTGACGTAATGAATCCATAGATCAGGGAAAGCCACCAAAATAGGGGTAGTAAGGGGTTCCTCAGAAGCAATGAAAAAACGGAGGCCATTCTAATCTATATGCATCCATGGATTGTTCGTCTAATAGGAATGCCTAGAGAAGATTCTACGATAATTTGCACCCAATGATAACATTAGAAGTACATGGAATTATGGAGCTTCCCAATAGACTGATCATCTGACATTGAAAGACTACTCATGAAAGAGTGAATAATCTCCAAGCCTGGGCTACTAAATGTAAAATTTTCAATCAAGGTGCAGAAAAATGGAAATATAGATTAGAAATACCTATCCATTAGAACATAGAGTAGGTTTACCGAGTAGGGTAGTGGCTGTATTAGAAGTACATGGAATTATTGAGCTTCCCAATAGATTGATCTTCTGACATTGTAAGACTACTCATGAAAGAGTGAATAATCTCCAAGTCTGGGCTACTAAATGTAAAATTTTCAATCAAGGTGCAGAAAAATGGAAATCTAGATTAGAAATACCTATCCATTAGAACATAGGGTAGGTTTACCGAGTAGGGTAGTGGCTGGCTTATGGCAAGTAAAATCTATCATGATAAAAGGATAATGATAACTTGGAAGGCTGGATAGACTAAGAGATGCCATTCCCTCCAACAACATCAGTGGAAGAGGAGGGAGTGATACCTTTAGGTTGAACAATGTAGTATGAAGAGATTCGACATTAGAAATAAAGGAGACCAGCATCAACCACTAGACTATCCAGAGATGTTTGGCGGGAAGGGATGGGTAGGCCCACAACAGTGGGACTATCAATAGAAACCCTTTTTGTAGGAGCATACAACAAAGCTTTTGAGGTGATGTTAAAGAAGTGGTGAAAGAAATACAAATCGAAGAGGAATGCCATCAAGGCATCCTTGGCACGATCTAGAGCTAAAGGAAGTGATTAAGCTTGACGGCAAGCCTATGAGAAGTGCCAAAGTCCATAAGCTGCAATAGGGATCAAACCTCCAGAGGAACGAAGGTTGCAATCCCAATACAAGCACAGGATTCTATGAGGCATTTGTGCTAAAAATTCAAAAAAGAAAACATAGTCTATTGCATAGAAGCGATTCTCCCCACATGGGAGGAGATGCAAATGCATAGCATGCTTACCTACTAGAAGCGAACGGGAGAGGGCTCACGTGCTCTGCTAAGTCCAATCAGAAGGGTGAGTTTATCAGACTCACCCTTGAAGCATGATGCATGTGCGTGATTTTGTTGAACCCTTAATTTTTCTACATTAATTTTGATTTTTTTTTTTTGAAGGTCTTTTAGTTTAGGCAAATCTGAAGGATTACACGATTGTACTTAACTTCGACAGCAACTTGATGATGGCATATAAATTTTGTAGCAATTAAATGACCAAAGAGCTGCCAGACGCCTCACCTATAATCCTGAGGGACTCCTAATTTCAAATTAAATCTGAATTAGAATATTTCTCAAGCTATTTTTATACCTAAATATGGCAGCCATTTAACAAGGAAGTCTCATAGTTTGAATCCATACAAATGCGTTCACTTTGTCAAAATTGATGTATTCGCTGCATGTTATATGTATAGTACATGGCTTATTAGGAGCATCTTTAGCATCAACATAAACAATCGTTAAAGGAATTCAAGTAGTTTGTAGGGCCTGAATTCTGAAATGCCTTCATCAATCCCATGTTTTTTTTTTTCTTCTTTTTTTTTGTTGTGACAATTAGAATTCATACAATGCATGTGTCAGTCTGATCTGGTTTTTGAGAGGGTAGTATTGCTTCATCTCAGAGATGATTACAGGGAATTTCTTTGATGTTATTAAACTCCAATTGAGAATATGTTCCAATTTTACAGCTCTTGCTGGGACGCTCGATATACCAGAAGTATATGTAAAGAGAAGCAAAAAACGGACTATAAGACATGCTGCAAACAATACCAAATGATTGGAGCATCATGCTTTAAATGATAATTCACTCATCCATTATCATCATGATGCTCACATCCATAATATCTTATTTGGTTTGGTTTGTTTGGGGTCACTTTTATTTTTCTGTTTTTTATTTTTTTTATTGCTTTTTTTTTAAATACATGTTTGTTTAGTACATTTTTTTTTTTTGCATGTTTTTTATGTTTTTGTTTTAATAAATAAATTAACTTATTTTAAAAAAAAACTTGAAACATCTACAAGTTGTTTTGAGTGTTTTTAAAAACTACTAAGCATGTCATAAAATACAAAATATGTTTTATTTCAAATAAAAATTTAAACAAACTAAAATAAAAATAAAAAATATATATATAACAAAAATTAAAAGTGATCTCAAACGGCCGCTTATTTTTTCTATTTTTCTGCTGAGTGTGCATGGAGTAGTCTCTGACACATCCTTTTTTTTATTATTATTTTTTCATTCAGCTTAAGGGGCAATTTGGAAATACCTGGCATCATAGCAGGGTGAGGAGGTATCTCACATCAGAGGACTGGCCACAAAGCGAGACCAAAGCGAGACCATGGATTGGCCTCCTTGCACTGCTCAGAAAATACCCGGAGCACTTCGTGATCAACACAAGATCAAAAGGAAGGGTCACCTCAGAGTTTGTATCTCTAGTTTCTCTGCTGTCTTAGGTAAGACAACTTTTTTTGCATCAAGATTCATTCTGTGAACTATGTAATCTTTAGCTTCATCCTGTTTGTATATTTTTCTAAAAAAATGTGTTTCTTTCATCTAATTTAAATGCTTGCCTTTCCATTATAATGTTGTATTAACCTCCATAACTTTTTTGCTAACCTTTCACTTATTATTTGTGTTAGGAAGGTAGTTTGAGATCTCTAAATTTATGCTGGTTGAGTTAATTTTTCTTTTGGGGAGCATATTATTGCTTGAGCATGGTGTGTATGATGGACCATAAATATTCAATTTACACCCAACATACATCACATTAAGATGCCACTCAGTCCTTTCTTGGCATTTTTATAATTTGAGTTTTTTTTTATCATTATCAATTTTTATTTTGATCTGTATAAGACCACATATGGGGAGGATATCCAGATCACAATTTTGGCCAGCATGGGTTTTGCAGATCCTAGATGAGTACAATACATAGGTAATTAACTTTTAACTCATTTTAAAGTATGTTTATAAACCTATCATAATCACCCTTTAGTCAAGATATCTAAATACAAAATTTTCATTCGCAATTTGAAGAAAGTTTTAATAGTGTTTTTAATTTCTCATATTGGCTTAAGCTTCAAAGGTATACTTTGGATTTAAAATATGATCTTTTACGGTCTTCATCCAACTTTATGGAAACTACTAGGGTCATTTCATTTCAGCAATATAGCAACAGTTATAGCGCATAGCTATTTGTTTGTTATTAACCAATTTGTATACTTTAGATTAGCGTAACCAATATATAGGGAAATGCTGACCGGCTATTTTGGATCTAGATCAATTTTTAGCAAAATTAGAACCCAACTGGCAAGATTGCAATGTTTCATTAGGGCAGAAACAAAGGGAAGATCGAAGAAGAAAGAATCCAAGAGTGGAGGCTTTGAAATTTTTTACCATGCATCTCCAAACACGTAAAAGAGTAAATCATTGTAAATAGCTTGTTAACCTTTATTTTTAGGATTTTAAGCACTACAGGAAATTCCACACCACGACTTTATAGGGAATAGCTAAAAATATAATATATGGTTTATAATCAGAATTTTAACTAGGGTTTTTAGAAACAAACCATTCAAAATATTTTTTTATAACATTTTAGCTGCTCAAATTTTAAATATAACATTTTAGCCACTTTCGTTGCAACCATCCTTCTAAACTCAATCATGATGTTTTGAGAGGAGGTTTTGGTCCGTCCGTTACATCTTTTGAGATGTTCTAAACATATTTAAAATTTTGAATGGTTAAAATATTATTTGAAATGTTATATTAAGTTTGATGGTGGCATGTAAAAATCCCATTCAACAAATATACTATTATATTTAAAATTTGAACTGTTGAAATGTTATATTAAGTTAGATGGTGGCATGTAAAAATCCCATTCAACAAATATATGTGGTTAACCCTCAGAGAGTTGGATGGATGAGGATGTGGTCCTTTGGAAGGGAATGTGGACTTGTGAATAGATGGGTGAAGTTTTGCTGATTGGGTGAGTGACTTTGGTGAGATTTTTAGTTATTAGCTAGCGCACCATACATGCATTTGAGATGAGCAAACTTTTTCTTATGTGTAGGCTCTTTGGACAGTAAATCCTTCTTGACTTATCTTGGCTTTAGATCGGCGCACCTATATCCTTGAACTCCATTAGAGAGATTCAACACGATACATGTTAGTCACTAGATTGGAAAATAGAGTTCATATTTTATTGGATCAGGATTTATTTCTTTGTAATATAAATGTATTTTTGAATCGCCATATTAGATTTTGTTGGTGTAAGTTTGGAAAGATAGATGGGTTAAGAGGTCAAATAGTATTTGATGTGTGTCGGAAGATTTACGGTGGTAAATCAATTATTTAGTGTCTTATTATTGGACGAAAGTCCAACACACACAAGTCATTAAAGTGACAGGTAGAGACATACTATTTTTTATGTGGAAAACCTAGGAAAAGAAAAAACCATGGGGCCTAACCTTGTCAGAACGATCTACTATAAGTTGATGAACACGCGTACATGCCTTGTCCCGCAGATGAGAAAATGTTATATAGTTTCTTGAAGTACAACAGTTATATGCAGAAGGACTCGTTCTCCAATGGTCGGGAGTGATTGCACTTGAGAGTAGTTGTTAGAACTTTAGTATTTCGTCTTCAAATTGCATTGTAGTACGGTGTTCGGAATGATGCACTGCTCCATAGGGTGTCTCGTTACTTCTCGACGTTGGTCTTTACTCCACATGATGTTTTGTTACTCCGCAACATATCTTTACTTTGCACGACGCTTCGTTACCCTGAATCGTTTGTGGTGGCTCTACACAATGCTTCCTTACTCCACAACGTACGTTGTGACTCCATAAGGGTCTTCGTTGAGAAAAGCAAGGGACGGTTGATGGTGGGTGGCGAACATTGGCCGACTATGATCTGCGATTACAGGAGAGAGAAGCTTTCATTGGAACTTTTGTCGAAATGACACTGGAAGTTAGCTCCTTCCTCCGATCCAGTTCTTGTTCCAACTCTTCCTCCCCTATCTTGAAGTGGGTTGAGCTTTATTTATAGAGTTTGGGAGAGACCCCTTATAAATAAGAAAATAATCGGATCACTCCATTAGATGGTTTGGAAAGATTCATTCAATCAAACAATATTTTTGGACATTTAAGTGCCTTAACAATAGAATTGAGTGATCTTGGGCTCATTGGATTCACCTCGTTGAGACGCTTGATTTGACTATTGGTTTGTCAAATTTTGAATCCATTCGACTTTCTCAATAGGCATCAAAAGCTTTCAGAATAGGCTTAACAGCTTGATTCATGCTTGATTTGACCCGATTGAATAAATTTCAGTGTCATTGGGCTCATCTTTGCTTTAAGTTTGTTGAAATAAGATTTTTTGATGATTTTTAGTTGGATTTTGAATGCTTCGTGCTAAAAAATTACCTGGAGATTTATATCAGATGCCTCGAGATTTATGTCAAATGACGAAAACTTGAAAGTGTATCAGTTGCCACCTAGTTTTTTGGTGAGGCTGGTTTTTTCATAAAAAACTTACTGAAATGAAAATATCTAAAAAAATTTACGCTTGATGGCGGTAGCAGATAACGACCAGCAACTACAGCTGAAGGGTGGCGGCGGTCGGGGGATCAGGCTGATGATGCCATGCCAAAAA